AGCCAGGATGGTCCGACAGTTTGAATTTCCCGCCCTTTCCTGTGCATTTTTCCGTTCGTAACTCGAGGCTCAGTTCAGAAGCAGAGGGGAAATGTTTCCATTGGAGCAGTTCGTAAGTAGAAATGTTCGTAACTAGGGCTGTTCGTAAGTCCAGGGTTGACTGTATCTGATGTTGCTGACTTAAGACTGTATTTAAGATTTCCAAGTTCATTTGCCAATTGGGGTCTTTTTAAATGTAGATTTTTTTAAAAAAAGGGTACAGAGCACAACAGAGCTTCATAAAATCCTCTGCTGCAGAGTAAGAGTTGGTAAGCTTTGGACCTTCCTGAAGGCCTGCACTGTGTGGATACAGATGGGCTTCCACACACTCATCCTTCAGCATAAGGAGATGGAGATGTTTAAACCTCCCTTTCTAACCACTGAGATGGGAATGCTGAGGGGTGGGGAAGTACAAGAACTATTATTATTATAGTTTCTGTTCATCTGTCAAGGCATTTAAAGCAAACAGAACACGGCCAAAGAGCCCGAAAAACCCACAATAACCATTTAAAGCAAAAATTTATCACTGTGGAACTGGTTTTAAATTTTAGCAATTAAAGACTTAAAGGAATACATATTTCCTAAAATATCATTCTATAAAACGAAAACACAAAAAAGCATTCATTATACATGACATTTTGCATGTATAGGGATGTTAAAGCACTACAGATACTGGGCATAAATCTAGACAGTTTTTAAAAGATTCACTGTGCTTTAAATTACTTTTGGTTTTTAAACAACTAACTGCCATACTATATCATAACTTATTTTATTCAGGATCTAAGGATGTCATGGAATTACTGGCCAGGATCACTAGGCTGTGGCCACTACATAGTTTTAATAACTTGTCAAGTTTAGATTTAATGCCAGTTGTCACTTCAAAAATTCTAAGTTAATCACAGCAGCAATACAGACATGCATGTCAGGTGGAAAAATCCATCAAATCTAACAAGAGCACTGAACAGACACAAGGACTCAGCTAAGGAAATTTGAAAAGAAAAAAAATCTAGTGAAGATTCACTGGCACGAAACATCTAGGTCAAAATGTGAAACTCTGCATAAAACTACTGCAATGCTTTGAATTCAAACACAGATAAAGGCAGCCAGTGAACTTACCATATCTTGCACAGAAGGGACAGACTTAAGATGGGAGGAAAAAAAGTGTTATCATTAGATATACTGGCAAAAGTATTAAACGTACAAAAAAGGCTATCCATTACATACTACAGTAGCCCAAACAGTGCCAAACCATGCACAAAATCTAGAAAGGCAACTGACACTATGTGAATTAATTCAATACTCACTTCATTAGATACAAGAAGTGGTATTATTATTACTGGGGAAGCCCTAGAAAGCTATTATCTTAATGTTTACTGTCTAATGCTGTCCAATTGCAACTTCAACAGTTAGGAGAAAAAGAATCCATAAATCCCTCTGCTACTTTGATGTGATGCTGGGAAAGGGCATTTAGAGCTGTGGAAGGAGGAGCTTTGGCAAGGTGCATTTTCCCAGTGCTCAAAGTTTTTCTCCACCAAAGGAAGTGAGGGTGTCATAATATACTGCTATCATTGAAATATCAATTGTAAATCCTTTGAAATATCACATTTGTCTTAATTAATTTCTTCATTTTGCATGCTGAATGCAACATGTGCAGTCATAATTTGTTTTACATCCCCAGGGTTACCTTAAAAGCAAAGAAGGCAAACTGTGGAAAGCAGACAAAACTAAGTGTATCTGTTTATCTAGTCACCTAGGATGTCGAAAGCAACACACACAAAAAAGGTTGCAATAACAATTATACTGTAAAAATATATGTTTTCTACAAAAAAAGCACTCACCAATTTTGCCTTTATTGCACCTGAGTCAACATTCTGACCGGTCTTGGCATGGAGTTGAAGCTGAATAGCATGCAGTTGCAGTAGCTGGTCATGCACCTCCTTTTCTAATACTGCTTTCTCAGCCCGTGTTTCTGTCAGTTCCGATTTCAGGTCCACTAGTTGAGCCTGAAAAGACACAAAGTAGTTCAGTAGTTTATAGGACTAAAATGTCTAGGGATAAAATGGAAGAGGTTTCTGACTCTTATTATAATAATCTCCCTTTTCAAATGTATTTTAAGTATTAGTATCATCAGTATCCATTACATACGTAATGCTGGTCCAAAGAAGAAATATAAATTATTGTGAAGAAAGATGCATCAAAGGAGTGATAGGGATTCCTTGAGAACAAAATTAAAAAAAAAATACTTTAGAAATGACCTTTCAATCTTTAAAAGCCGCTTCACCTAAATAAAAATCTTATCCATTCAAGATATACTGATGATCACAAAAATGTTTTGCCACTAGTACAAATGAAAGGTGTACAGTTGTGTTCAAAATTATTCAACCCCCACTGAAATTGAATGTTTTGGCCATTTTGACATTTCTTTAAAACGTCCTTGTAGGATTTCATTCTGAATACAATTCCAAATGTACACTATAGTCCCTAAACCCCTTTACAGCATTGGGGGTTGAATAATTTGGAACACAACTGTATGCATAACCACTTCTGTACCACAGTAAACATGTCCAGTCATCATATACGCAGCCATTTTTCACACTGCACCTTGACTGATCTGAAATACTTCTTGTCCTGTACTAACACTAGTCATAATCTGCTCCAACCTGAACTAAACAGTAAATGAAGGAAGTGAAAAGATTCCACACTTTTACCATTCTGACAATAAGAAAGGGGATGGGGGAGTTTGGCTTAAAAGGGGGAATTCCTACATTTTCATTAATCTTGAATATATATAGGAGAACTGGTATAGCTCAAATGGATGGCGCACCCAGCTAGGAGCTGGCTGACTGAATCCACACTGTACTTTATGGGAATGGAAGTCAGTCAAGATCCCCTGGACTGGAACACTTATGGCTGATAAGTCCTTCAGTGTCATCAGAAGACAGGAGTGATACACTACTTCTGAGTACTGTATATGTACAAAACTCTGTGAGAGTTGCCCTAACAGGAAACTGCTTGATGGCACATGATTATCTGTTGTGTGCAGGAAGATTTTAAGATTATGAAAGTAAGTGAAAGACCACTTACTATGTTTGGAGCAACCAATCAGAAACAAGAGCAGCAGAAATCTACTACACTGCATATTTGAAAAGAAAAAGAATGTTTGCATTTGAATTCCAAACAAGTTTAGCAAATCATATCCTTACAGTTAGGACAGTAGAATTCTAGGGCTATACACAGTTAAAGTTCAGTCATAACTTCCAGCTGATAAAAGATATTTGAATGGGAATCTAGTCTGATTGCTTCTTCTGCATGTAACCTGCTTGAATCAGAGTCCTAGGTATTACCTTTTTGAGTATCAATGTGCATCCATTAACTTTCAATAATAAGATAAATAGTAGAGGCATAAGAAACACATCATCAAGTTCACAGTTCATCCTTTGTAATATGGCTAAAAGTCAATTCTGACTGACTGCTGTAAGAGCATCTTCCTGAAACTTCTACAGTCTTCGTAATACTAATTCACACATATTTCCTTGTTTACTTATTTTTACTGTCGGACTGCACCTTCGTATAATTTCAGAAAAACTGGAAGTATGTTATGACTTTTATTTAAATTTTTTATTGATTATTCTGTTTCTTCTAAGGGGGGAAGATGACAGAATTAATCTTCAAATCCATTGGAAAATGTTAAAGTGGAGCCAAAAATATTAGTTTACAATCACAAGAGACAAAAGAGCTGCCACAGCCTAAACAATGGTGTCATGCTATGATATATCACTAGGTTTATGATTACTTTTTCATAGCTGTAAGATTTTAGAAGAGACACTCCTTCAACTACAAACAAGAATGAGTGAGCAAGAACTGTGGTTATAATTTTCATCTTTGACCATCACATTTGCCTATATATGTGACTGGTTTGCAGGAAGTCAAAATGCTAACAGACTGACTTGTTTTTTCAACTTTTCAGCAAAATTTATCTCCTCTAAACTAAAGATGGCAAAGGCACGCCAGATATTCAAAATATGATATATCTATATTCTTCATCACAGAGATCAGAAAAAGGTAACTGTTTTAAAACTGTATTTTTAAAAAATTATTGTGCTTTTCAACTTAAAAGTTTCCAAAGTAACCATGGGAATTACCAGAATGGTTGGGTAGCATTTACTGATGTATTAAAGCTATGAATGAAAATCAGGAGAAATTTAGCTAGTACTGTATCTGATTTTTAAGAAAAAGGCTTTGGATTCATTGTAGCTGTACCTCTCATAACTTTAGTATACTGCTGCAAGCGTGCTTTATAATAATTTTTTTCATTTAATTTTTAGATCCCTATCTATAAAAAAGTAAGGAGATAAACTTTGATGCTCTTATATGCCACACAAAATAGGGTTTAGTAAGTCATTCTTCAACATACATTTGGACAAGCAACTGATTTCATTTGAACAGAGGAAAATGACATTTTAAAGCATCATTACACACATACCAATTTTGTACCAAAAGGAAGAATGGATTCTATAATTAAACTAACTGCTAAAACATTGGAAACAGTATTTACAGCTAAACTCTGCATCCTGACTGAAAGGCAACCCATGACCAGGTCCTTGCCACCCACACACAAATATTTACTGCAGCCATCTTGTCTTTTAAAAGGCACCAATCAAGCAGAAGTGCCCAAGCAACCACACTGTAGCAAAGACCGGAACTAGATACTACACTTGACATAGCTTTACAACATAAGAACATCATTTTCCTGCGGTATTGTTTTCCCTCCTTCCAACCTTTTCAGTTATCCCAAAGGTAGGATGCTATTACAGAAGAGATCCTTCCGTGGGTCATTTGCTTTGTGCACAAAAATATAGGATCTTACAAGGAAATACAAACAGCATTTTCTTCTCCAGGCACAGTCACTTTTTTCAAAAGGGAACAGTAAGAAAGCTCCTACTGAAGGAACATTTTGCAGCTTTTTTTGTTTAATACAACTTCCCATGGGTTAGATTTTCTTATTCTTCAAAAATTTTCTCCTTCTGTATTGCTTAAGCACATCAGTCTCCTCTTTCTTTTTTTAAAGATGTTGAACCAAATATTGTTCCACAACAGTACTAACTCATTTTATGGAGAATAGATGCCTCACCTGTTTTTCAAAACAGGAACAACAAATTTCCAACGCCTTCTGCCACTAGAGGGGGATATTTTTTCTTTTTTCCTTTTAACCTAAGATGACTTAGCTTAAAGAGTTTGTAACTCGAATCTAAGTTCGTAAGTCGAGTCCATATATTCCTATGAGAGCTGTTCATAAGTCGAAACGTTTGTATGTCGAGCCGTTCGTAAGTCGAGACCCCACTGTACAACTTCCCATGGGTTAGATTCTCTTATTCTTCAAAAATTCCTCCTTCTGTATTGCTTAAGCACATCAGTCTCCTCTTTCTTTTTAAAAAGATGTTGAACCAAATATTGTTCCACAGCAGTACTAACTCATTTTATGGAGAACAGATTCCTCACCTGTTTTTCAAAACAGGAAAAACAAATTTCCAAAAAATAGTGCTAAGAATGTTTTTGTAACAATATAGGAATTCTCTCTACCTCCCATCCATGGCTAACTTTAAATGGACCCATTTTTAAAAATCCCAAACCCTTAATCTCTGTTAATGTTCTAAGATTCTACAGTTCTAACTGATTTTCTCTCTCCCTTAAAGAAATCTTCAATAATTATTCCAGTGAAATACGAAGACTCTGAAGAAATAAAATAAAAAACACATCGCCATTAAGAGTACCAATAACCTACAGAGAAATCAGTCCTAATAACCGCTAAAGATTTACTCTATAGCTGACAACAGATGACCACAAGCAACATTACTATATTTCCAAGATGTTGATACCTATGCCTGCTACTATTTATTATCGCTGTATTATGATTGCCTTTTGCTTCTTGCTTGTAACTACTCTCTTGTCCATAATTATACTTATTATTTGGATTTAGAAGCATGACACTAGAAAACTGTGAGAAATATGTTTTTTTCTCTTTTGAGACAGATAGACAATATAATTTTGTCACATAAATGTGTTGCTTTCATTTTGGATGAAATACAGTATATTTCTCACAATATGTTGAAATAGGCATAAGACAACAGACTAACTTCTTGACTATAAATGTAGTTACTGTTAGTTTTACAAGGTACACAGCTGGAGGTAAAATAAAGGGTGAAACCTTCTTTGCATAAGGTTTTCATAAAATTTTAAAGCTAAATGATGAGGTACCAGGCACACGACCGAGAAACACCCCAGCACTTCATCTGTGAGAAGTTACATAAATCTTACATGAATGCCAGTAGGACAACAACAACAACAACAACAACAACAACAACGTGCTGTGAAGCTGATGCTGACTTTAGAAGACCCTTTCCAAGGTTTCTAGGTACAGTCAACCCTTGACTTACAAACTTAATCCGTTCCAGAAGGAAGTTTGTAAGTCAAAAAGTTCGTAAGTCGAATCAGCATTTCCCATAGGAATGCACTGAAAACCAATTAATCCATTCCAGCTGTTTTTGGTTCTTAGGTCGAGAGGCGGTTTGTAAGTCGAAGCATTAGTTCCCATAGGAACTAAAGCAAAGCCGGTTAATCCATTCCTACCACTAGGGGCAGATTTTTTTTTCCTTTTAACCTAAGATGACTTAGGTTTTAAAAAAAGGAAAGAAAAGAGGGAGGGAAGGAGGGAACAGACACCTTTTCAACAGAATACCTTGAAAAGCACCTTTTCAGCCAAGACGAGCACCTTCTGGGAAAAACCAGGCACTTTTCAGACAACAGATCACCTTGAAAAGCACCTTTTTGATCAAGACAAGCCAATACATGCACCTTTTGGGGGAAAAGGGGGCATCAAAGGAGGGAGGGAACACCTTTTAAAAATCCAAAAATCAAAAATTTTAAAAAAGCCAAAAATAAAAATACACTCTGTACGGCGCTGTGCCAGGCAATACCAGGCAGTCTGAAGACTGTCTCCAAATCCACTCTCAATATGCTGGGAAGAGCAAGGAAGCAGACAGGCACCCTCTTCACTGGCCAATGGTTAACTGAAAGTTCAAATTTTGCGCTTTCCCCACCTCCCGCATGTTTTTTTCAGTTTGTAATTTGAATCTAAATTTGCAAGTTGAGTCAATATTTTTCTATCAGAGCAGTTTGTAAGTGGAAATGTTTGTAACTAGGGCTGTTTTTAAGTCAAGGGTTGATTGTATAAAGTACTCAAAAGTAGTTTCCCATTATGAGCACCATTTCCTTATTCTCTGGGACTGTGCAGCTTGTCCAAGTCTACATGGTCTGGTTCTTCTCTCAAGAGGCACAGTGGGGAATCAACTCCCAAGCCCTCGGCTCTGTAGCCAGCTACGTAAGTCACTGAGCTATTCTGCCAACTATTGGCCATAAAAAATAAAACAACATTTAAAAAAAATATATAGCTATTATTTATGTAAGTCTTTGTTTTGCCATACAATGTTTGGATAATTAGGGGGAAATTAACTCTAAATTAACAATTAATGGGATCTATAATAACAACAGTGTCATCGAAGCTACCAACATGAATTTGAGCCAATTCCGGGAGGCAGTGGAAGACGGGAGGGCCTGGCGTGCTCTGGTCCATGGTGCGACAAGGAGTTGGACATGACTTAATATCTAAACAACAACAACATAATAATAATAACAACAACACTGCAAAACAATGTCAGTTCTCTAGCACCACCTCAGGTTCCTGAAATATTTTACATGTGCTAATTGATTCTATCAAGTTTTAAGAGGAAATAATTTCCTGTAAGTTCAGTTGAACTTAACTCCAGCATTAAGGCATCTTCAAATGCTTTTTTTTACACAACTATTACAATTTCCAGATTTTATGCTATGCACGAACAGCTCAAAGAACACAGCATGGTTAATATTTACATACTATTACAAAATAGTAAACATCTGTATCATATCACAAAATGTAAACACTGATTAGATTGCATTGCAGGAGGAGGGAAAACTGAGAGAAGCACATCCAATTTAAAATATGCAGATGAAACCACATTACTGGTAGAAGGCAAGCAATGGCACAACCATTGACAAAGATGAAGATGAAAAATGAAAGTGAAAAAGTAAAGTTACACTAGAACATGAAGAAGATAAAAATAATAGTACAGGATTTATATCACGTTAATGTTGACTATGAAGAAATTGAAATGGTTAATAACTTTAATGCTGACTATGAAGAAGCTGAAATGGTTAATGTATTTAATGTTGACTGAAGAAATTGAAATAGTTAAAGATTTTCTACATCTTGGTTCATACAGTATATCAAAATGGAGTATGCAGCCAAGAAACTAAAAGAAGACTGAGACTCATAAGGGCACCTCTAAAAAGATTCTAAAAAAGATCCTTAAGCGTGAGGATGTACAACTGGGGATCCAAAGTCAAGATCATCCCTGCTGTGATATTCTTGATTATTATGAACAGATGTGAAAACTGGAGAGGAATTGGTTGCACTTGTCTTACTGCTCTGTCAACTCACAATTCAATGGTTCAGATGGATCCAACGGATTCAAGTATAACAATTCTAGCTACAAGAAAGTGACAAGAGAAAGGAAGAGGAGAAGAGCAACACACTGGCTGAAATCCAGTTGCTCAGCACAATAAGTCACAACAAGTGTAGGCCCATTTGAATTAATAGAACCTACAGAGGAGATGACTCATCAAGTTCCCACTGATTTAGTGGGTCTACTCTTGTACAACAAACTACACTAAACAACAGGATTTCAGGCACTGTTTACTAATTCTTATGATCTTTGCCCTCCTTGATAAAGTCCCCTTTAGAAAAACCCTTCTAAGTTCAGAAACAGTGGGGCACACAATGAACACAGAATAGACCTGAACCAGATTTCTCCAGGCCAAGACCAACCATGTGTCCACCACACTGGATACTTAGCTATATCTAGCAGATTATCAGCACAATAATTAACACAATAAAAGGCAACATCCTCTTGTGTAAAGTTTTGCAATACAAACCAGATGATGTCATTGTCCAGTAATATTTAAGCTAAATTAATTAAAAACTTCCTATCTCCCCACTTTCACATTTCAAGACTCTCTAGGGCTCCCTTTTTCCCTGGGGAAACCTTTGAGAGCCTTAGAATATTGGGGAGGGAAGACCCTTAATAATAACAAATCACTGCTGGAATGGGGACCATTGCCAGGGATTTGGTAGCAATTGCTCACTACAAAAGGCTCCCCTTTCACATTCCCAGGCTCTGAAACACTCCCCGGGGGAGCCTAGGACCCTAAAAGAAGGAGATAGGAAGCTTTTAATTAGTTTAAATAAACATGCCCAGCACTAGATAGTGACATCATCCAGCTTGCAGTGCACAAAGTTACATGAACAGGATTTTGGCCAATGAGCCTCAGTCTTTACAATGTATTATCACTTTCCCATTGTTTTAAAGAGGTTTAACAATGTTTCTTCATACAGAGTGGGTCCCATTTCTGTGTATAACACTCGCTCAGCCGACTTGTACCCTAGTTTATTCTCCTTTCGGAAACATAAAACAGAGAGTGTGGTCATGATTCTTCTCCCTCCTCGAGCCTCAAGGGGAAAATGGTTCAGTTCAGCAGCACAAAGCCCGGATTTCAAACCCCAACTGTTATGCGCGGGGAAAGGGGGGGGGCAGAGGCAGCCGAGAGCACCTCCAAGATTTTGAGAGAGAGAGAGCAGCCAGCCAAGAGCAACCGTCCCTGTGGCTGAGGGGAGTTATGCGCACAAGGTCCTAGGAGTGCCATCACAAGGACAGAGAGTTCTCCTAATTCCTTTTACGTCTTTTTTTTTTAAAAAATCCTACATAGGTCATAGAAAGTTGGAATCGACTTGACGTTCCTTGACTTTGTTAAAGTACAACCTCCCTGGAGGGAAGAAAAGGGGGGGGGAGGATGCCACGGTCCTCCTCCTACGGGTCTGACCTCTCACACGCCCTCCTCGCCAGCCCACCCGCTCCGGGAAACGAAGCCACCGAGCGGGCTGGCCTCCGGCCCTGCTCGCCCCCTCCTCCTCCTCCTCCTCCTCCCCCCTCAGGCATTCACCTCCAGCTTGTGGTTGATCTGGGAGACGGTCTGCGCCTTGTGGCAGAGCTGCGCGAAGCAGGAGCTGAGGCTGGTCATCTTCTGCCTCCCCTCGTAAGTGATGTCTGCCTGGTCCGGGTCGATCTCGCCCAAGAGCAGGTCCACGTCCACGAAGGCCTTGTCGAACTCCTTCTCCAGCACCTCCAGCCACCGGAACATCGACAGGCCTAGTGTGCTTCCAATAATGTCAGCTTTGGTAACCATCGCCATAACTTTGATTTCCTTTATTATTGTGGTTTACCAATGTTCATATGTAAAGACAGCACAGGAGAAATGGGAGGGAGATAAGAGGGTTAGAAATGCAAGGCTGTAATTAGTAATCCACCCGGCCGCCAACCCCGGCGGCGCCCACGGGAGGCTGCCTCTTCCCTTCCGAGCCGGCGGGCAGCGGCGGCCTTGGGTACGAAAGCAGGGAGCCACTGAGGCGCATGCGCGGAAAGGCCCTTCGCTGCTGCTCGCCGGTTGACAAGAGTCCGGCTGGTAAAAGATCGGCGGTCGGCTTGTTCAGCCTGCCACAACTAAGACCGACTTGCCAGCTCGGCTGGACCGATCTCCACCATCATCGATTGACGTTTCCGTTCTTGGCCACCGGTGTCGCTGTTCTGCAATGTGTCACGGATGGCTAGGCTTAAAAAAAACACCCGAAGAATTTGAAGTTAACCCCGTGTCCTGCAGTGCTGGTTGCAAGAGTCTAGAGAGCTCTATGGAGCCTGGCAGACTGTTTTCACATAGGCCCTCAAAGAGTGGCCCCTGCCAGCTTCTCCTCTATAGTAAACAGTACCACAAAGCCCACAGCCCAGCCCTGACAATGAAAGTAATAAAGGACTATCATATCTAGTGCCATTGCTTGCTTTCCAAGGCTGGGAATACACTGGCCCACAGAATATGGCAAAATCCATGGTATATTGGCACGTATGAATACTGTTGCTATGAAGATACTGCATGTTGGTAGCATAGAGCAGTGGTTCCCAACCTTGGACTGCAAGTCCCAGAAATGCTGGCCACATAGCTGGTGATGAAGGCTACTGAGAGTCTTACTGTAGTCCAAGAACAAATGGGTTACCCAAGATTGGGAAACACTGGCATAGAAGGACCATATCACATGGGGTCTTGTGTTGTTTGCTCTGTTGTGCTGAGGACATGATCCCTGTCGCCACCCCATCATCACCTTGAGTTCATTGGTTCCTTCTGTGTGTAAAAATCACAGTGTTACTGCCACATCAGCCTCTTAGCGGTGGGCACCAGAGGTGCATTTACAGATGCTGCATGTGTGTAGCTACTATTTTTGAATTACTTTCTGATTTTTCAGTCGTGTTTCTTCCTTTTCCTCTGGGATGAGCATACATAGCATTTGGTGGCTAGAGCAGTGACACTGCTGGATAGTGCAGTGGTTAGGTATCTGGCTGAAGAGGTTGGGAGTTCGACTTCCCACTCTGCCTTCTTGACAGAGGCTGTAAATGATCTGTGGGGTCCCCTCCAACCCTTCAGTCCTAAAATGAAGATAAGATTAAAATATCCCCTCCTCATCATAGCCATATAGTATGGCTGATAGCTGATTAGCCAACTTAATTAAGATTAAAATATGGATTAGAAAAGAGTAGAGCATATAACCCCAAATTAAAAAAATAGATAAAGTTAAATCACCTGTACATGATGGTGAGGCATTGTGTATATCTGTATTGTTATATAATATTGATAATATGCAGAATGATAGAAACACATACACATCTATACAGTATACCTATACATTTTTTAATATATATATATACCATTCCTTGAATGTAAGCTTAAAGTCTAAAGCAGTGGTTTCCAATCTTTTGTCCTCCAATTTAAAAAAAATTACCTCCCAGAATCCCTAGCCAACATGACTCTAAACAAGGGATAGTGGAAGTCGAAGTTTGAAATTTCTGGAGGGTCAAAGGTTGAGAACCACTGATCCTGAAGGACTGTGCACAAATTAGCTTAAACATCCCAGACAAGTAAAAAGAGTTGTAGTCAGATCTGACCATGGTGACACACATGTCTGTTATGTACTATTTGAGCCCTTATAATGTGTCGTGAGAGGGCAGCTTTTGAATAATGTGTTCAGAAGTGATTGTTTTCACCACATCATTCTGGATAATCTCTTTACCAGTTATGCTAGCAGAATAAGCAGCAGAAGGCGAAGCTAAATGAACTTCTGGATTTAGTCCTTGAAAATCAGAACGACTAACTGAGCATACTTGCCAGTTTAGAAAGAAATCACATCCACACAACGTGTTCTGGGAAAAGAAAAAAGCTTTATTATAGAAATATATTGAGCTGGGGAAAAAAATTAAAGCAATAGTTCCAGCTAACTAAAGTGGAGATGCAGGGAGGTCTGCCCCTGCTGCATTGAGGAAAAAAAGGTGCAATGCCTTTTCTGTCCTCTCCTAAAGGGCATCAAGCAGGAACTGGGAGAAAGAAGGGAAGTGACATTACAAGCCCTAAGTCTAGATCAGTGGCTCCCAACCTTGGGTAATTTAGGTGTTCTTGGACTGCAGTTCCCAGAGTTTGTGCTGGCCAGAGTTTATGGGAACTGCAATCCAAGAAATATGGCAGGTTACCCAAGATTGGGAACCACTGATCGATGGAAAGAAGGTCAGCATAGGTCAGCAAAGACGTCTAGGAAACTGTCTCTATTTATCTGTACTCTTCCATGTGTGAAGACATATGTCTTCAGTATATACTGTTGCCTCCAGTTACGTCCCAGAAGCTACATGTGATTCCCTTGTTATTCATCCTTGCTGACTGCATATGTTTCTGAACACAATTCAAGTCTATACAGTATATAGATATAAAATTCTTATACAAATTTAGTCTGGGGTATCAGAAATACTGCATTGTCCCATATAAATATACCCTTGGGGCAGTGTATTTCTCTAGTCTGAAAGGCAAAAGAAGCCCTTATAAGTGACTGCTACCACACAATCAAAGATGTGGTTTAATTGATTTCTTTGCACATTTTAATTGCAATTTTATTTTTATTTGTGTTTTATTATCATTGGATGACATTTTTGGTTGAAAGCCAGCATATACATTAACTAATTGTAAGATTAGTTAATGAGAGAGAGTTGGTGAAAAATAGTGTGATGTCTCCTCGAAAGAACAAAAGTACTGTATTATGATAAAGGAAGAAGGGGGGAAAGAGGAGGAGCTATAGATCAGTGTGTGGGAGGAGGGGATAAAAGGACCATCAGGAGAGCGAGTTTTTTGGATCCCCAGGAATAAAGAAGAAGGAAGACCAAAGCTGAGAGTATGTGAGTGATTTATTGAAGGACTTCCCTAACCTTAAGGTTGAAGGACTGTTGCCTGACCCAATAACAGGGAAGGAGGAAGTGACTATTACTGAGACGTCAGAATGGACAGTGGTGGTCTTCCCAAGAGGACGTGGTTGCTGGAAGAAGGTGGTGCGTTCCAATCCAACCTACAACAAACCATCTCCTGAGGGGGATTGGGCACGACACCTGTGTTGTGGCACAATCTGTGTGGTCTGGAGTGCCCCACTGAGAAATCCTACAGACAAGGAACGGTTTGGTACGGCTCCCCAGTATTAAGAAATAGTAACCACTATGGAGAACTCTCAGGATGTGAGAGAGAAGTACAAGAATTGAATTAGGTATATCCCACATAAGCTATTGTTGACACCCCGGAGCCCAAGTTCAATAAATCTGTTAATAGTTTGAACAAGCCAGTGCTTTATTTTCCCGCAAAAAAATCGGAACTGTCAGGAGTTTTCAAAGAACCCAACCACACTAATACAACAATGGCTGGAATGCTACTAGTGTTTACTTAAGGCTTGGATAACTCACTGCAGCTAACTGTGGCTAATTTACAAAATGTGAGAGTATATCTTAGTTATGTAATCAGGCATGTGACCAGGTATGTGACTAAGGCTGTGACAACACTGACAAGCTAAATCAGAGCAATTTGGCTTTGCTGCAGCTTGATTCTCAGCCTATTTTGTGCTTCAGTTTGGATTATGTGATCACACAGAGCCCAGAGATTGTTTCAGTGCCAGTGTCCACAGAGGCCCCTCAGTTTGATGTGGATTGATTTGTGCCAGAGCCCTATGTGACCAGGTATGTGACTAAGGCTGTGACAACACTGACAAGCTAAATCAGAGCAATTTGGCTTTGCTGCAGCTTGATTCTCAGCCTATTTTGTGCTTCAGTTTGGATTATGTGATCACACAGAGCCCAGAGATTGTTTCAGTGCCAGTGTCCACAGAGGCCCCTCAGTTTGATGTGGATTGATTTGTGCCAGAGCCCTCCATCCTTTTTCAGTGCCAGTGTCCACACAGGCCCCTCAGTTTGATGTGGGTTGATTTGTGCCAGAGCCCTCCATCCTTTGATCCTGCCTTCTGCAAATCCTTGGTTCTCCTTTTATAGTTCTTTGTAAAGCCAGTGTGCTATTTAAACTGTTGCATGGCATTAGGGGAAAGGGACAGATTGCCAAAGTTCTTCATAACATACAAATATATACACATACACCATAGAAACATATTTATGTGCTGTAGTTCATCAGAGTTGTTTCTACTCCATAATCCTTTGATCCTGCCTTCTGCAAATCCTTGGTTCTCCTTTTATAGTTCTTTGTAAAGCCAGTGTGCTATTTAAACTGTTGCATGGCATTAGGGGAAAGGGACAGATTGCCAAAGTTCTTCATAACATACAAATATATACACATACACCATAGAAACATATTTATGTGCTGTAGTTCATCTCAGTTGTTTCTACTCCATATCAATTTTGTTGTTGTTGTTGTTTAGTCGTTAAGTCGTGTCTGATTCTTTGTGACCCCACGAACCAGCGCACACCAGGCCCTCCTGTCTTGCACTGCCTCCTGGAGTTTGGTCAAATTCATATATCAATTTTTATCCTCCTCCTTCTTATTATTATTTTTTGGTCCATGCATTCGTGATTTAGTGGTAAACTTGGTAATTTGTTTATTTATTTATTTTTAAGACTATGGCAGGTGACTAGGTAGAAAGATTGTGAGGATGGGCGTTCTCACTGTCCAGAACATCACGCCTAGTACATCATCAGGATACAACCCAAGCCACACACTCTCCCCCAACCCCCAACCCCCATGATCCTTTTGGAGAATGAAACAGATCACAGTGGGAAAACACATTTTGAATTAATCTGGCTTGAAAAAAGTAGAAGCTTCTAGCAACAGGAGAA